TCAACAGAACAAAGGGTAGTTAATCAGAGAGACTGACAACTGTTTATGTTGGAAGGGACAAGAAAAAAAAACTCCACAGAGTTAGGGAAGAACTTGAACTTGGCTCTCAAGGTTAAGAAAAGTCTCTGTTACAGCATTTGCTTAATAAGTAGTAAAACCCCAAAAGGGGAATTTACAACCAAAGGCCTGTAGCACCAGGCACCGTGCTGAGCAGTATAGTCAAACACAGGCTAATTATGACTGTGCCGCGTCTTGGTCCTCACTGGACTCCCCAAGTGAAAAGCCCATGTCACAGGTCCCAGCCCACAGTTTCTGTTGCAGAGGCTGCAAGGGTCACAGAACAGACAGGAAGAAAAACAGCCCAAGGGAGTAAAACAGACTCATTTCTTGTGACCTGACATATCAGGATTTTTAGGCAAATGCAGCATAATTTCTTGAAAGTCTGAGTTTAAAAAATGAAATTAAAAACAAGCCAACATTTCCTCCAAAGTAACTCAGGCACAGCTGTGGCACTGTGATCTGGACTCAGAGCCTGCTCCTGGCCGCAGGACCTTTCAAAGCATCACTTCCATGGAGGTCACGGGGCTGGGACAACCTGTCCTCCCTAAACCAAGTAAGCCTCAAGAAGCAAACACCAAGCCTTTCCCAAAGTCCCCTGCACTCTGTCCCGGGGCGAAGATGACAGACGTGAATGGGGAACACACTACACTAAACACTATTCCTTACTCTGTTCTTTGGTGGCATATTGAGGAAGGGATTGTTTACCTTTGTTTAAAAGCCTTTGGCAGTTTGTATAATTCTACTGAGGCCACGCAAGCCTTAGGAAACAAAGCCAGCAATTCAACCTGACTTTGACAGATGAAGTACTTAATCAAAACAGTCTAGTGAGGTGGTATTAAACACAGACCCAGGCAAACAGCTGCCAGGGTGGGAAGCCCAGACTTGCTCCTAACTAGCTGAGGACCCTGAAAAGTATGTTACACATCTGTTTGTTTCAGTTTCCTCATGTTTAAATTGTGAATAATAATAGTGAGGCTAAACTGTGTTAAGAAATATAATATATATAGACTTGTACCTGGCTTATTGAAAGTGTTGTAGTAATAGGGTAGTGTTTCCATGCAACTAAAGAAGTTTTTTTAAAATTCTGAAAACTTGGAAAGGATAAAGGGAATAAGGAGCACTTGGTGGAGAGAGGAATTAGAGAAGGGAAACAACCAGTGCTAAAAAATCATCAATTTCTATATCAACCATGCTTGAGGTCTTCAACTTTACTGATACTTCCTTCCCCACTGTAAAAAAACAGACCAGAGTCACAGTCAGTTTTCAAGATTGCTGGAATCGTCTCAGTAGACAAAGGATAGGTAAATATGTCTCTTCAGCCCTGCTCCTCCTCATGTTTCAGCAAAGAGAGCCGTTCTAGCCTGTACTTTGCCTTCCAAGTCTGCAAACCTACTTGTACTCATCATACAATGGGCCTCCTGATCACTGAGCTGCCAATTTCAAGATCTAAGCATCAGCGGAGGGAGAGATCTTGGTAACCCCTGGGAACCATAATCATGCTTCCTGGGGGACATTTATTATCTAGCTAGATGTTGGAAGGATATAACAATAATGATGATGATGTGAAATTACCCATTCTGCTGAGGACTTATCATGGTAAGTGGTAAGGGAGGGAAGGAAAGAGAGAGAGACAGAGAGAGAACCAAGGCTGGCTTAGACTCAGAGACCCTAGACTGCAGCTCTGGCTCCGTCACTGTACAACCCTGTGATACTGAACAGTTCTCTTCACCTTCCTCAGTGACACCTTCAAGATCAGGATAATAATAAGTTTTATTTCCCTCTGTTGTATAGTAAAGAATTTGCCTGGTCTTTGTTCCAGGTTAGTAATACCTTCGTTATTTCTGGTGGGCTACTGAACAACATCAGAGTTTATACTAAGGAGATGGCTCAAAAAGGGGCTGTTTGAGCCAGAAAGGCAATCATGTGATTAACTTGCTGGTTTCTGGGGAGGAGAGAGAACTCGTAGCTCCACTACGTGGCCAATGAGTCCATTAGTCTTGCCTACCTAATGAAAACTCTAGACTAGTGGTGGCAAACCTATAGCGTGAGCACTACGGCAGACTGTCTGCATCTTTGAAAACTCTATGAGGTTCACCATCACTGCTCTAGACCTTAAGGTCTAGCTGGTGATAACACCTCAGTGGGCCAAGGCAATGCACCCTGACTCCATTAAAGGAACACACTGGCAGCTCTGCTTTGGCCCTGGACTGTATCTTTTATAATGAAACTATAAATATGTGCAATTATGACACTTTCCAGAGTTCCATGAGTCATTCTAGGAGATACAAGACTCAAAAGGATTGTGACAGTCTCCAGATTTATTGCCAGACTGTCAGAAAAACAGGTGATGTGAGAACACCTGAACAGGATAGTCCTACTGGGAACTGTCTCCTTAATTTGTGGAGTGCATACTAACTTTAGGTGGTTATGTCAGAATGATAATACAGTGTATATGCATAAAAGATTATCTTAGGCATGAAAAATAAACATGTAAAAATACCTTAGGAGTCATGAAGTCTTAAATAAATACTACTTATATAAGAAGGTCGTTATTGATGGAGGTCAAGCTAGGACATTTCTTAACATCTCCAAGAATTCATATAGATTTCATATAGATTTCCTTTATTCCAGTGGTACTCTCTAATTGAACCTATCCCCTTATTTTGGGCAAATTTATTACTTCAACGAAATTAATGGGCACATAATATGCCCAAGGGTCTGTGCTAAACATAGAACTGGTAGAGGAAATTAGAATAGTATCAAGGCTGAAAAAAAAATCTACTTTCAACAATTAAATGCATAAACGATCATGACTTAGAAAATGTGCCCTCAAAAGCTTCAGAAGTGAAGCTATTGAAGGTCATTTGCTCATGAGGGTGCTATGTTCATCAATTAATAGCTAATTGTGCAGCTCAGGGCCTAGGTGGAGATGGGTGGTTCAGGGGTGTATTCTCTCAAGCTCTTCCCTTCTTCCCCTCTCTGCTTCCCGGTTGCCATGAGTTGAGCAGTTTTCCTCCACCTACTCCTTTCCTCCATGTCACTTCTGCCTTGGAGCAAGCTACCCATAAATTGAATCCTCCAAAACCACGAGCCAAGTGAAACTTCCCCTCCTTTAAACTGGGAGTTTAGGGTATTTTGTCTCAGTGACAAATATCTACACTAGGGAGAAGATAAGATAAAAATATAAATCAGAAAAGATGCGCAACTTGAGAGGCATGGTTAAGGGTAAGATTATTTCGCAGGGAATTAAAGAAAATGAAAAGAGGAAATGGCATGGAAGCAAGCCTTAAGATATTCATAGGATGGAAGAAAGGAACAAAGGAGGGCATTCCATGCTGACAGGACAGTGAAGCAAGCACGCACGGGAGGTACACTCATAAAAGCAGGTGATGTCACAGCAGAACCATGAAACAAGCTGGAGCCAGAAATGTCAAGGGAAAGAGTTCATAAAACCCCACAAGCAAAAGCCAACCTGTAAACAGCTTGGCCAATCTGATACGGCAATTTATGTGTGTTTTCACTCTTCTATTAAAGGTAATTTGGCTGAAAAGACTGAGAAGCACTTAGCAGCTCCTGGATTTTATAAATGAGCCAGTGAGCATCTGGAGGGTATGTGATAGTCCCAAATTCACACAATCAAGGACTAGTCCACCCAGAGAGAGGGCTGGGTTACAAAATGCTAGCCCAGTGTTCTTCCCACAAACAATTCTCACTCCCTTACATCAACATTTTTCAAATTCAAATCAATGGTAATTTAATGGCTTGCCTTTCAGAATGATGTACCAAGTACTCCTCTGGATATGTTTACTCCAGTTGCAGTAATCCTGGGACCACAGCACGAGAGTATGAAGGACCTGGGAAGGCTGGAGTGTGTTGCCTATTAAGGATGTAGGGAGTTCTTGGGGCAAAATCAGCTAATCAGACGTGAGCCCTCACTACTGGCCTCATTAACAGCAGCCAGCTGCAGAGCTAAATGATACCTGCCAGGAGACACAGGGCCTGCACAATTTCAACTAAATATAGCATCAGGGCAGTTTAACAGACAGCATGAATGGTGGCGTTTTCCTGAAACAGCTGTATTATGTGACAGGTGAAATCCAATACCACATTCCTCTGTGGCCAAAGGAGCTTCAAAAGTTTGCTAATAAGAGACTCAAGAGAAACATTCTCTAATGCAGATCCTCGAATGGCCTTTCTCATACACTTTCCCAGTCTCAACAACACTCCTCTCAAGTCATCAGTCCTATAGCACAGGAAATTCCTGGAGATTTTTTATTTAATTCCATTTGTAGAGGACAGTTCAAGACTCAAGAGTTTGCCATTTTACCAGTTCCTGCTGTATCCTCACAAGACATTCCAGCAAAAAGAGAAATCTGCTCTTGCTTCAGTGAGGTACTGATGTGATGGGAGTCTGAATTTTATTAACTGCTAAAATTACATGATTTGTTTTTAATTCCAGAAGTAAAATCAAATTTTTTATTTAAGATAACCAACTTGGAGGAAAGTTTGCTTTGGCTCATAGGATCAAAAGTTGGAAGTCATAGTCACTTGGGTCTGTTGTCTTGGGCTGGTGGCTGCACAATAAACTGGGTGGGAACTCATTTGAGATGAGTCCTGTTCACCTCATGGCAGCCAGGAAGCAAAGAGAGAAGAAAGGGCTGAGGGCCCAATATTCTCTTCATTTCTATGACCCCTGTTTCTTGACTTCCACCCCCCAGGCTCATCTCAATGATTCTATCAAGCTTCCAATAGCACTATGGGCTGGGAACAAGACTTCAACACGTGGGCCTTTGAGAAACATTCCAGATCCAAATTATAGTGATCCATGGACCACACTATCAGGGACCTGACCAAGATCCCCAATATCCCAAATAAGTGTACAGCAAAGGCTTAAATAAATGAGACAAGTGATATGATTTTAGGGCTCCAGGAGGATCAAAACCCTCTGCAGAGTTTGAGATTCTGAGGGCTGGAACGAAGAGCTTCTCTGGATGGCCCATATTTATTAGGTCTTCAAAGAAAAGGAGATGGGATACTAAATAAAGGGCAGGATCTGAGCAGGACCTGGAGAATCACCTCAATTACTTCTACAAGTAGTATTCTATGCTAATTTAAAAAAATTGTTTTATCTCCACGACATTTGCAGTAGGAAATAGCAGGAGTCAGATGCCAGCGGCTGCAGTCTCTGTCTTGTTAATTGGGGTTGGAGCCAAGTGTCCTCAGCTGTGGCCTTATCTTGCCCTTTGAAGCATCTCTTTGTTCTCAGGTCAGCCATGTCCCTGGCCATAGTGCAGCTCTGAACATGTGCTCAATTTCCAACTTCAACAGCCCTCAACACTACACAAAAATAAAACAAAGCATCCAATCTTAGAATCTCCTCTAAAACACATTGATGTGGTTCACAACCCAGAGTCACAAAGCTGAAAAAGAGCAATGTGCCTATATGATGAGTCTTACAACCCAGGGCATATGGAGCATTCTCTTGAGTGGGGTCCACTCTGCCACCTGGCTATCAGCTGATAGGAGCCTTCCCACTTCTTCTTGAAACCACTACTTGTTTCATGGCTTATTTTTCTTAGTGTCTCTAAAGCTATATGGAGAGATCACCCAACATACACACTCATAGATCACTTAACGAGAGGGGTACATGCTGAGAAATGTCACTTGGCAATTCTGTCATTATGCAAATATCATAGAATGTACTTACACAACCTAGATGCTATGAATAAATCATTCCATGTGGCCTCTTAATGCAATCAAGAGTCACGAAATATGTGAGACTGCTGCCGGAGTAACACAACATACTATTTGACAAGTGAACTTTATTTTCTGTAGAAATAGATAAATACTTAAATAAGAGTTTTAAAAGTATAGCACAATAAATACACGTATCAATAGCATAAAATCCAAGCATGATGGTGCATGCCTATAATCCCAGCACTCAAGAGGCTGAGGAAGGAGGATCTCTGTGAGTTCAAGGCAAGCCTGGGGTACATAGTGAGTTCAAGGACAACCTGAACAATGTAGTGAGACCCTGCCTCAAAAAAACAAAATTAGAAAACAAGTAATGTAGTCATTTATTATCTAGAATTATGTGCTGTACATGATTGTCTAAACTATGGTCTTGTATGACTAGTAGTGCAGTAAGCTTGTTTTTAAGACATGTGAGTAGTACGTTGCACTATGACACTGTTAGGGAACAGCAATTTTCCAGTTCCATGAAAATCTTATGGGACCACTTTATGTACACAGTTCATCTCTGACCAAAATTCCATTATGTGGAACGTGGCTGCATATTGTTTGATTATATATTGGGAACTGCTGCAAATTAAGAATGTTGACTTATTATCTTACAAGATAGGCAAGTACCCAAAAATTGTCTTTTCTTTGGAATTTCTTATCAGAACTTTCTGTTTATTTTATTGTAGTTAATAAAAGTTTGTCATTCATTGGACATTTACATACACTTTTCATTTTCATGTTCAAGAAATGTTTGTTGTACCAGGCACTATGGTAGACATAGGAGCTGACAAGTAACAGACCAAGCTTTACTCTTATAGGCCCTAATTTGGAAGAGGAGAATAAGAATCAATAAATTTAAGAGAACATAAAAATGCAGATATAGTCTGGCAAGTAGTAGTAATTTCTATGTAGAGAAAAATAAAGCAGAATAAGAAAACGAAGAGTATGCCTTGGTATTACCTGATTTAGAGTAGTCAACAATGGCTTCTCCAAAGGAAGATGAGATCAAATGAAGTAAAAGAGTAAGCTTTCCATGGTTAGGTATATTTTCTTCTGTATGACTTACATTTTCAAGTAGGCACTTTTTGTTTTGTTTTTGGTTTTGGTTTTGGTTTTTGAAACAAGGTCTCACTATATAGTTCAGATTGGTCTTGAACTCACTGTGTAGTCTAGTGTGGTCTCAACCTCCTGGCCTCCTGCCTCAACCTCCCAAGTGCTGGGATTACAGGCATGCACCACCACACCCGGCTAAGAGTACAGACATTTTGACATGAGCGTTAAATCCCTCATTTGAATTTAATGGTCCTAGCATGAGCACTGGGTATCTAGTTATATTCATATTTTAAGCACTCAATAAATACATCTTGAATGATCATGTTATACAGCAGATATTCAACTCCATAATGGTCCAAATTTCACTAACTCTGGTGGTTTCAATATTGTTATTTCTATGGTGAAAGAAATGGACATAATTAAGGTAAATACCAAGATGCTCCTCCTTTATTAACTGTCTGCAAACTGAAGTCAAGTTTGTAGGATAGTACCTGGAGCAGGCCATCAGGGGGCATCCAAGGGGAGAGTCATGTCAGGAATCACTGTTTCACCATCAAAACTGAAATCCAGAACTAATTCCATTAAGTGGGCACTTTGCCTGGCCCAGTGATACGTCTGTAATCCCAGCACTCTGAGCAGCTGAAACAGAAGGATAGGAAGGTCAAGTCCAGCCTGGGCAACAAAATGAGACCGACCTTGTTTCAATATTTAAAAAATTTAAAAGGGCTGGGATGTAGTTCAGTGTGAAGACCCTGGGTTCAGACCCCAGGACTAAAAACAAGAAAAGGAGGAGGAAGAAGAAGGGGGAAAGGGAAAAGGAGAAGGAAGAAGAGGAGGAGAAGGAGGAAGAAACTTACATAAAAGGACAATTTTCTCACAGTTGCATAGCTAGTTAATAGGTAAACAGAAACACTATCTCGGGATCTAACCCCCAGCTTAATGGAGTGCTCTTGCCTCATTATTTATTTCTGGAAGAAATTGTTGCTTTATTACAGAGGGTTCACAAGCTCTCCACAGATTGGGTTATGCCGGCAGTACAAGGCCTCAGGAGCTGGACAAATCTCATGGCCTTTGACAATGCTGCCTGGCCAGTAGTAACTTTCTCCCAGTGTTACCTTCTAGCCTCTCATTTGTTCCCAGAATAAAGTTTAATTTCTCTTCTGCACAACCTTACTGATGAGGAGAAAATCTAGAAAGTTAGGCCACATTCTTAAGTGTATACAAAGACATACACCCTGATTAGTTCCTATTACATGAGAAATTTTATTAGAAAGAGAAGGATATGCACTTAATACATGATCAATAAAATTATAAATGAAAATATACCACTGGAAAGGTTAAAATATTGATCTCTTTGGTTGCACTATTATCCTATTGCCTCTAAAACTCACTTTCTCAGAAGCATGAGAAACTAATAGTGCTGGGTTTGAACAACTTTGTCTCAACCAAGGCACTGTTTATTCTTTTTTTTTTCAAAAATACGTGCCCACAAAGAATAAAGGAAGATTTCTATTTTTTTAAATGCAGACCTTGAAAAGTAAGTGGTGTCACTTTCCATACCTTTCAAGTGAATTAATAAAATTGGATCTTAAAAAACAAAATGAGTAAAGAAAGTCATCACCAACCATATGGTATTTGTTATAAAATTAAACAGAAACTAGAGAAGGAGATAAAATATGTTTTCTTTCCCCCAAGCCTAGAGAAGTGAAAAATACATTGATGCCATGAAGGATGTTGACTTTTTTTTCTGTAAATGTTTAATTTCTCCTGCAAGCCATAGACAGAGGAAAGATTTAGAGTGAGACTTTCATGAGCGAGGATGTTCTCCAGAATCTAATCTTCCAAACACATTAAAGCAGGAGAAGACCCACCTGGTTAGTAAAAAGTCTGAATGACAAAATATTTTTTAAATAAATACTATTTCATTATTTTCACGTACACTGAAAAGAATGTGTGAGGTTGATATATATCACGTGCTAATAGTTCTTAGAGAAATTGTCTTAATGAATAGAGAGGATATATGATTAGAAAATTGTTATCAGCACTCTGAAAGCTTGAAAATATATTTTGTATTAAAATTATTATTGTTCCAAATCTTGTTCCCCTACTAATTCCTTAAATTAAGCAACAGTTAAGAAAAATTAAAATTCCTGCTCCAAAAACCTCAAATTTATTGTATTACTGCCTTTGAAAGTCTCTCCTTTGTAAAGGCAAGATTAGTAGACTTTTTCCAGCAAAATGAGTGATCAAATGAAAAACTTTCTAATGCATTCAATCAAATTATAAAAAGAAAATGATAAGCATATAAAATATCTGAAATCATCTGTTCCAGTATTATAATACAGCAAGGTAATTGGGGGGCACAGAATATTAGTTCAGTGGTAAGGTGCTTGCCTAGCATGCGTGAGCCCCTGTGTTTGATCTCAAACACTATCAAAAAATCAGAGGTTAAGAGGCAACCCTCATAATATAAAACTGAGCAATAACATTTTCCCTCCAATTGTTTTGAGAACATTCTTGACCTCACTTGAATAATTTAACACTACAGGAATTTCAGCATTTGTGGTTCAAAATGAAATTTTCCACAATCATTGCCCAAGGGAGTTCTGTGATTTTTCAAGACTACATATATAAAGTTATGCTGCCATTTGGCTTATTTTTCTATTGTCATTTGTACTAAACTTTAAAACCGCTCTAAATGCCTCTTAATTTTTTATGAGTAGCATCTAATACCTAAAAGTATTATCTTTGGCATTTATACAGTTGACCTGACCTATATTTTAGACTATTCTAGCACAGCTTATACAGTATATTTTTCTAAATAGCCAATTTGAGTTCTGGTTCAGATTTTGCTGCTTCCACTGGCTTCATAGTGATGGTTTATTTTCAGAATAATTTTGCTACCAAGGGAATTGGAGGGATATTAAAGACAACAGTAATCCCAGCACTCAGGAAGCTGAGGCAGGAGAATCACCGTGAGTTTGAGACCAGCCTGGGCTAAATAGTGAGTTCATGGTCACCCTGAATTATACAGCTAAACCCTGTCTTAAAATAAATAAATAAATAGCAAATTTTGAAAAAGAGAACAAAGCATCATCTCTACAAAGTTTCTTTGGCCATTTTCACAAAATTTTTGATTAGCAAGCACAGGGTAGAGAGACTTTGGCACTGAGAATCTGAAAGATGAAAAAGGGCAATAAGAAAACTGAAGGGTAAATCTGGGGTTCACTGGGTTAATAGAAAAGAAGCATAAAAAGTAGATGACTGGGGCTGGGGATTTAGCTCAGCGGCATAAAAGTGCCTGCCTTGTAAGCAGGCAGTCGTGAGTTCGATCCCTGGTACCGATAAAGAGGAAAAAGACAAAAAAAAAAAAAGTAGATGACTGTGTTTGTGGGATTTAAGCTGGAAAATAGTATTATTTTTCTGTCATATGTTTTTTAAAAGAAGAGAAAATTAAAGAAAGTGCAAGCATTCTCTAAAAGGAAAACCAAACACTGAAATGAAAGACAAACTGCATTCAGGTTTTTAGCAAAGAGTAACATAAAGACTTGCAGAAGCGTCACTGGAAGGATGGGGGGAGCCATGTGCCCTGGGGACCCACAAATGACAATGAGGCACTGAACAGATTTTACAGGTTGAATACTGTCTTGGGGCCCCCAGCAACACTGTGCTCTGCACACCTGCAATTCCAGCGCTCTGGGAAGCTGAGGCAGGAAGATGGTAAGTTTGAACCCAACCTGGGCAACTCAGCAACTCAGCAAGACCCTGTCTCAAAATAAAAAAGAGACTTGAGTAAAATTTGAATTCCCATTCAAATAAATAAACAAATAAGAAATAAATGAAAAAGAAAAGCTCATCTCCATGTCTGCAATCCATCCCTGTCACTGTCCTTTCACTCCTTCTGAGTAGGCCACTGGTCTTGGAAATGCCTCATGGTGCTTCTGTCTAACAGTTCTCTGAGGAGGTGGCGCACTGGTCTGATGCTGCAGAAAGAACCAGGCAGAGTAGAGCGCTGGGAACTGACACACACAGACCGCAGAGGATACTTCTGTAGAGATCCACAGGACAGACGATGGTATCTTGGTCCTGGAGGCAGAAGGACAGGTTCTAAGAGGTGAAAACTGGAGAGCTCTAAGAAGTAACCACCTGGACACTCCAGGCCTCTGTGACTCCCTTGGGTATCAAGCTGGCTGGAAAAGATGGAAAGGTGATTTCTCTAAATTCTGAGTGAGAATGATCGCCTAGAGTTAGAACAAGTGGATTCAAATAGCATTATCTGCCTCCTGACTCCAGGACCTTCTCTGGTCCTCACCCTGACGGTCTCCCTTCCCTAGCCTAGAGCACACACTCTCTCACTGTCCTTACCCCCTAGCCCCTCTCTGCGTTTTGTCTTGGCACATGTCACTGTCTGGGGCTGCATGTCTCCATGTGTGTTTCTTCATTCTTATTAGCTGCCACTATCTCTAAAATGATGGTAAGAAATTTCTTTGCACACTGAATCCTGGTGCTTAGATCGGGGGACAGAGGGAGTAAAGGTCACAGTAAGAGAGTCTAAGGGAAAACAGAGAGGGGAAGAGAGCTCCATGCACTGAGCACCCCACTACTGCCACCACCCTCCCACCACGCAGGAAGCCCTCCAGTGCCTCTGCCAGCCTCGAGGAGAGCAGGGAAGCAGGTTCTAATGAAGGTGCTCCACATATTGAGAGAAGCTTTAAATTCAGGTCTCTCTGGCTGCCAAACTCATATTTTCACTAAACATTACAAAGTGTGAAACGTTTCTCAAATGTATGAATTATCTATTTTTCAGGTTTCAATTCTACTAGAACTATTTGAAACATTAATTATAAGAATTAAATAGAGGTTTTGAGAACCATTTGACTCAGGCTCTCAAGAATTTTCAAAACTGTATTTCCAAGAATATTTTTCATGAATAGGAAGCAGTGTGTAAGAAACTATCTTAGAAATGAAAAATAAATACTAATATTTCCATAGGTGCAGAACTGCAAAGGGTTGCTTTAGGGGGATCCTTGCCCCAGAAATAGTTAACATTTTTATAAGAGCCATGGGAGACAGAGTAGTCTATGAGATTTCCTAGTTGCAAGTGAAGTTAAATATTTCTTATAGGAAAATGCCCTGTCAGTGGAGAGAGCTGAAAAGTGTTCTTTGCTATCTGTGAGAGATGTAGAAAAGTAGCCAATGGAAGCATAAAATCAACTTATTTTTATAATGCATAAGTCCAGCCACCCACAATATAATTATTATGGCTCATAGACTGAGGTATGGTGAAACTAGAGATCAAGAACTGAAAAGACTAATGAGATCACGTGACATTTATCTCTTTGTGCCTGGTTAATTCTGCTAGACATAAGGTCCTCCAAGCCTATCCATGCTGCCACAAATCACAGATTTCACAGATCTTCTTTTTAGTGGCTAAACAATAGCTTGCTTACATGTGGAACCTAAAGAGTCAATCTCACAGAGGTAGACAGTAAAAGTTACCAAAGCCTAAAGAGGAGCGGGAAAAAGGAAGCATAGGGAAAGGTTGGTGAAGGAGCCTACTGTGTTCTATGCCATAGTGCAGTGAGTACAGTCAATAATAACTACTGCATATTTCAAAATAGCTAGAAGAAAGAGTTGCAAATGTTTGACCACAAAGAAATGATGACTATTTGAGGTAATGACCATCACACAATATACATATTGTCAAGACATCACAAGGTATCCAATAAATACATGCAATTTTTATGAGGTCAATTAAAAGTAAAATAAATCTTAAAAAGAACTGAGAATACAGGGAATCAGCTATGTATAGCAAATGCTTGAATGGCAATCACAGTTTTTCCAAACTGAGATCTAACCCAATCTCTAGAGAGTTTAAGACACTCTCTTAAGATTATAAGGTTCTTTATAGTAAGAATAGAAGCAGAGGCAGAAGGTCTGGATAGAACCTATAATATATATCCTTGAAGCATTAAAGAAGTGAACTGAAGACAAATAAAAATCTTTGGAAGCACATCAACACAAAAAGATATAAACTACTGGGCACAGGATTAAAATAGAGATAAAAAATTAATGTGGACTTATAAGTAACAGGTGCATAATGAGAAAGAAACTAGAGCATTTCTGAGCCTGGCTCTGATGTCGGGTGACAA